CACAAACTAGATTCTCCTCTCCCTATATTGATAATTCCTCCAGGATGTCTGGTGTGTCTCTTTGTTTTAACCCCAAATCAGTTTTTAAATACAGGATATTTTTAAAAAGAAAACACTCAGTGTTCATTTCTTGCTGCATGCAGCTCTGTTTTGATGGGCTGGTGGGCATCCTGAGAAAATGTCCCACAGAGCTTATCTGATTTGGATTTAAATTCAGAGTTGCAGCTTCAGTACTGTTGAGATATGAGCACAAGCTGCTGCTGAGATGGTGAAATCATGGGGTAGTGACAAAACTATGAGTTGGGGAGGGCGACGGAAGTGTTGGCAGATCGTCTTCTCCCACCCAGATCTACCCAGATCAACCGACATAGCCAGCAGGAACGGCTGAGGGGCCTGACGCCGAGGGAGGCCCGGAAGGAAAAAACAAACTGGGCCTTTTTTGGCGGTGGCCCCTCGGCTGTGGAACACTCTCCCTACTGAAATTCGGCTGGCACCCTCGCTGGGCGTTTTCAAAAGCCAGTTAAAAACTTGGTTATTTAAAACAGGCTTTCCCTCCAGCCAATTAAGTGATTTCCCCCCCCTCTTCTTGAGTCTTGCCATCTTGGAAATGTGTTGTTTAGAATTAATTATAACAATTGTATTTTTATATATGTTATTTTGATGTGTTTTAACCTATATAAGCCGCCCCGAGTAGACGCTGTCTAGAGGGGCGGGGGAAAAATCGAATAAAGATAGATAGATAGATAGATAGATAGATAGATAGATAGATAGATAGATAGATAGATAGATAGATAGATAGATAGATAGATAGATAGATAGATAGATATAATAAATAAGTGTTGTGTTGCTCCCCATTGTGGTTTATAACATTTCTAAAAAATGTAAGCTTAGCTGCTTTGATTTTAGATTTGTTTTGCATTCTTTCACAAGGTGGCATGTTTCTGTCTGGGCAAATTCTTTCTCTAAGGCTTTTTGTCAAAACCTGTACTGTTTTGTCTTTTCATCTGTTCATCTGGACAGCTAAAAATATATACCAACCCTTTACAGTTCACTCTACTGTTGCTCAGGAGCAGGGCACATGCTTTGCTTGGGCAGAGATGCAGGTCGGTGCTTGACATCTCTAGTTACAAGGATCAGATTGCAGGCGAGTCTTCTCCCTGAAGATACGGGAAAGCGGCTGCTGCTAAAGTGACACTGGATTGATAAGTCTGGCACGGAATAAGGCAGACCCTTACATTACTGAGACAATTGAAATGGTATACTTTGGAAGTATGAGAGAAAGCAGTGGGGTTCAGTAGAGAGAGAGAGACACTGAGTAAGTTTGCCATTTTCTAGGCCTTTAACAACACGTTGGTAGCATATGTTTTGATTAATGAAGCTTGCGTGAGTTGGATAGTTGCTGTATTTTGTAGGGCTGTGACAGAAGACTGCTTCTTTCCCGTTTCTGCCACTGCCTAGCTTGTGGAGGGTGATGATGAGTCCCTGATATTTCCTCCTCTTCCCAAGCAGCCATCCTTTGATTTAATCCCAGTGCTTTAGAATCTTTTCTTGTTGCTGCTCAGTTCTTTGGCTTAAGTACCAGCCGCAGTGTAAGCCTATTTGATTATTTTCAACAACCTTTCTGCTCAAGTGTTGTCAGGATTTCATTTCTAGCTCAGTAAAGTGTGAGTGCATTTTGTATTTTGATTGTATAACCTGATACTTCAGTGGCTTTAGCTTCCACGTAAGAGCAATCCATTATAGTTACTGTAATTATGTTAAGTTGTTCGGTCCTGCTTTAGAATTCATTAGGATTCATTCTCTCATGGGAGCTTGATAAATGATGGTTCCATCTAAGTATGTGGCTTGCTGTAGCACAGACTGGGAGTTGTGAGCAGACCTTAATTGTTGCCTGTGCTCAGTGTTACAACATATAAAACAGTATAGTATTGTTGAGCGAACACTCCGTGCCATTTATTTCACCACTGAACATGCATAACCTAAGCAGACAATCTAAAAAAGATCTGCCAGATCAAAGAATACTTGGACCAGGCTTCATACCTCTAGCTTAAGTGCTCCTTTGTGTTGAAAGATTTAGAGAATGTGTGAGAAAAAGACCTTAATAAAGGGTCCTTCTCAGGCAAGGGACCTGTATTCCTCATATAACTTCTTCATTGCTTCTCTGAAGCTACAAGACATTCTTAAGGAAGTATCTTTCTGTGGTTTCCACAGATCAAGGTATAGGCAATATTTCTCTAACACATGTAAAATAAAGGGATTGATCAGGTCAAGATCAATAGAGTAAAAGATTACTCTTAAGGCCAGATTGTTCAGTAGTCACCAGGGCAGACTTGCGTTAAATCAAATTGAATTTATTGAATCATTTTTTAAAATTTAAATCTTTATTTATATAAATTGATTTGGAAAAGATCATTGATTTTTATCTACCCGAGGAGTCAAACTTTTTGCCACTAAGTGGTCTCTGCTCAGTTGTGGACATAATTAGAAGTAGAGCCAGTGGACAGTCTTTGTTGAAAGTTCATCACATGATCTTGCCCTTTCTGAAAAGTGGTAAGATGACACTTCCTCTTTTGGGTGTCACTATTGTACCACGTGCTTTTGAATTGTGGTGCTGGAGCAGACTCTTGAGGGTCCCCTGGACTGCAAAGAGAAAAAAACCTATCCATTTTGAAGGAAATCAACCCTGAGTGCTCACTCAAAGGACAGATCCTGAAGCTGAGGCTCCAATACTTTGGTCATCTCGTGAGAAGAGAAGACTTCCTGGAAAAGACCCTGATGTTGGGAAAGTGTGAGAGCAAGAGGAGAAGGGGACGACAGAGGACGAGATGGTTGGACAGTGTCATTGAAACTACCAACATGAATTTGACCAAACTCCGGAAGGTAGTGGAAGACAGGAGGGCCTGGGATGCTCTGGTCCATGCGGTCACGAAGAGTTGGACATGACTTGACTAAACAAAATTGTACCACCTCAAATGTACCTTCACAATGAGTGACAAGTTATTGTTTCGGTTAAATTTGCACAGCTGTCAAAGAAACACAGATGGTGTACTGGAAGGCAGAATGTCTTTGAAAATCAAAAGTTTAATAAATCAGTGTTTTTAGTTATAATTACACATTGTGAAGAGTTCATGCAAACTTGATTTGTCTTCTCTCCTAGCTGTGTGGAGTTTGACTTGAATGTGAACAATGTTGTAGGAATAAGAAACACATTCCTTCTCAGAACCTATGCATACAGTAAGTAGCTGATACTTTTTCATATATATATATATATTTATTTTAGATGCTATTGCATTTTTAGCAATTTGATAGCGCTATTAACGTGGAAAACTGTTCTTTTTTTGCATGCCTGTTATCATCATCAACATTATTGTTGTATTTGTTTATTATTAATTATTTATTGCTTTTTAGTCTTGAAGGCTTCCAAAAGATGCAGAACTACAAAAGGATTCTTTTAAAATAAATAAGCAATTTAAAAATAATTTTGAGAATCAGCATCCTTTAATAAAGGTCAACAGCTATTTTAAAACTCAGCTTTAAGCGAGTTTTACAGATGGAAGGCCATACAAAACAATGCAGTCTTGATTACCCACTGGACATTAGTGCTGCTGAATCAAGAGAAGTGATAAATGAGCCAGAATCCTATTGGAACTTTGCATATGCAAAGTGAAATTGTGCAAGTCACAGTGGTAAATTGCTGCTGATTAATGATATGCCAGTTGCATTCCTGGCCACTTCCTTTTTTGTCAAAACCAGGAAGGCAATGTGCACCTTGTTAATCAGTGAGAATTCACTACTGTTTCTTAATATGATTTCATTTACACACACATACGTAAACTGCAAATGAGAATCCTGGCCATGTTCTCTCAAATAATAATATAATTTATTGTCATTGTAAGTATATACACAGTATACCCATACAACGAAATTCACATTGGTAAAAAATGGTAAACCCATTTTATTTTGATGGACCTTGTTTCAGAAGAAATGTACACAAGATCACCTTATGAACATTAATGGTAGGGGATTTTGCAGTGCATGTGCCAGAATGGAATCAGTACGATATATATTTTTTGATAGCTATGTTATCTTCTATTTGCCCATTCATGCTTTCAGTTTTATTAAAGGTCTGTATTAACCTTGTGATGTTTTCAGTGTACTACAACTCCACGATCTACTTTTTTGATAGTGATTACCTGGATCTGCAACAAAATATTGTAGTGCAGGGGGAATTGGCAAAAAAGCCATTCCAATTACAGTGCTGCTTATATACCACCCCATAGTGTTTAAAGTACTCTCTGGGCAGTTTACAATTTTAATTATGCAAGCTACACATTCACACTCCCCCCAGCAAACGATACTCAATTTACCAACTTCTGAAGGATGGAAGGCTGAATCAACCTTGAGCCTGGATACCTGAGCCTGTTAGGCTCAAACTCAGGTTGTGAGCAGAGTCTTAGCTGCAGTACTGTATTTTAACCACTGCACCGTGAGGCTCCTTTAAAACCTCCAGCAATTCTTGTGCAAGTCACTACATGTGAAGTTGTCTTTATTTTTCCATTTTCATATTTCTTCCATCAACTCTAATATTTCTAATACAGTATTTCTTTTTAAATCTGCATTTTTTTTACATTTGTGGTGATAATTGGTAACTTCTATTAATACTACTATTAACATTTCTATTAAATATCATGTTAACATTAGATAAGTAGTTCATTACTTTGCTTGATCAGTTTTTTTGTCATGTTTGCAGTTGAGAGTCGAGTGCGTCCATTAGTGCTGGTTGTAAAGAAGTGGGCAAGCTTTCGTGGTATAAATGATGCCAGCCGAGGCACTTTAAGCAGCTATAGTCTTGTGTTGATGGTTTTGCACTATTTACAAAGTAAGTATGTACTTGACTCTTGAAAATGCTTCTTCCCTGCACATAAATTTTGTGGGTTCGTCCCTATTTATTATTAGCAACTGTTTTAAAACTGCTGGGACCACCTCTTAGAACAAAAAGGGGGGGAGAGCTACCTTCATTGTATTCATCCCCCCATTTTTAGTAAGTTCCCCCAAGAAGACACATACTTCCCTTTTAACTATATCTAGGTGAAACAGGACTTCATTATTTCTCTCATAGAGGAGGGTTTTGATTACTTTTCTGCACCTATTACTTTTCATGGAGAAAAAAAATCAGCATGATTGTTGGGTTTCTTGCTGTCTTTTAAATACTTAGCAGGAAACAAATAAGAACATCTACTATTCTCTTAATAATCTTGATTAACTCGTTGTTTTAAAATGACAGTGGTACAGAAATGAAGCAGCAACCATTGCAGTTTGGTGTACATTAATCTAGTATTTAAGTGCAAAGTGTATTTCAGGCTTTATTTGTACTCTTTAGAATGTTGTGAGATGAACAACTAATTTAATGTATGGGCAACTAAAGTTGAGATAGCTGAGTTGCCACCAGTGAATTTTTGTCATAGCAGAGCTTTGATTCCTGGTGAAAGTATTTAATTTTTTCCACTGTACCATAGTTGTAATTGATTTCTTGCTGAGTTCTTTTATACTTCAAGCCTGAGTCCTTTGATTTTACAATCAGGAACTCAAGAACCTTGAGATTTTTTGGATGAAGAGCTGAAATTATCAGTACTAAAGATTGTCAGATCTTGCTTGTGGCAAGAGAATCTTCTTTTGTAGAATATTCTCGGGGATTGTGAAACGAAAACTGGAGAACCTTCCATAATGGCATGTTTTATTTTTTGCCTAATTCCCCCTTGTTACCGAAGCTTTCTTAGAGTGGGTTTATTTTATAAATGTGGTTATTTGTACATTAGTATTATTTTAAACCAGAGGTTCTTAATCTTGGGTTACTGAAGTGTTTTTGGACTGCAACTCCCAGAAGCCTTCAGCACCAACTGTGCTGGCTGGGGTTTCTGGGAGTTGCAGTTCAAAAACACCTGAGTAACCCAAGGTTAAGAACCACTGTTTTAAACCATAGGCATAATCCTATTGCTTACATATGCCAGCACATGTGCCACAGTGTAAATCACCATGCCAAATTTCTTCTAGTTCAGGAGTTGTGCTTATATTTTTTGTGGCATGCAAGTCACGTGACTGGCATGCAATGAGAAGTACAAGTGACACTGGGTCCTTCACCACACTGGTCCATACATTGGAAATTTCGATATTAGACTACTGCAATGCTCTCTACATGGGGCTGCCCATGAGGCTGCCACGGAAACTTCAGCAGGTTGAGAACATGGGGGCCAGACTACTGAGTAGTGTAAAGAAATATCAACACATTTCTCCTCCTCTGGTGACCCTACACTGGTTACCTGTGTGCTTCCATGCTAGTTCCAAGGTGATGGTGTTAATTTATAAGGCTCTAAATGGTTTGGGACCTCGATACCTGTCAGAATGCCTCCTTCTGATTAGATCTGTCTGTTCTACATGATCGTCCCAGGCCAGGTGATAGAGAGTATTGACACCAAGAGAGGCCCGGAAAGTGAGGACTAGAACCGGGCCTTCTCAGCGGTCACTCCGCAACTTTGGAACAGTCTCCTGCCCAAAATCCACCTGGCCCCTTTAATGAGAGCTTTTAAGCAATTGTTAATAACATGGTTTTTTAAGGTAGGCCTTTCCATGTATTTGTATTTAATTTTCATGTATACCATTATGTTTTGTTATTTCAACTGTTGTTCAATTATATGTGGTTTAATTGTGTAAACCGCCCAGAGTGGCCTTGGCAGCCAGATGGGCGGTATAAAAATCAAATAAATAAATAAACAAGTGGCGACTCCTTGACTAGCAGCATAACATGGTTTTTTAAGGTAGGCCTTTCCATGTATTTGTATTTAATTTTCATGTATACCATTATGTTTTGTTATTTCAACTGTTGTTCAATTATATGTGGTTTAATTGTGTAAACCGCCCAGAGTGGCCTTGGCAGCCAGATGGGCGGTATAAAAATCAAATAAATAAATAAACAAGTGGCGACTCCTTGACTAGCAGCAGTTATTTATGCTGTTGCATTTATGCTGGTATACATAAGCAATAGTGTTTTGTCCATTGTCTATAGCAAAGATGAATGGTAAGTATCCAATGATACATAAGCAATAGTGTTTTGTCCATTGTAGCAAAGATGAATGGTAAGTATCCAATTTTATCACTGTACAGTAGTCTCTCCAGCCTTAGGGAGCCTGCTGAGATGTGACAAACTGGGTGAACTCTAGTATTCAAATGTATTTGAATACTAGAAATGTATTACAAATATATAGGGGAAAGTCTTAAATGCATTAGAAATAACATCCAGCTATTCACTCCTATCTCTTGAACAGAAATATTTGTCATTTTAGATAATAGTAGAGTGAGATGTCCATAGCGCCTCTTCTTTCATGTCTTCTAAGACCAGTGGAGGCTCTTGGTGTTCAGATTTATACAACATATTGTCTCATTCAAATTTAACAGATGATCTTTTAGTTGAATAAATGGTGGCAAGAATGATTACCCCCATCAGCTGCTAAGAAGAGAGGAGCAATTAAAAACATTTTTACATGAGCATAACCACTATGCAAGAAAAACGTAGAGTGTCTAATTGGTTTCCAGCGGGTATTTTAAAAAGAGAAACACTTAGGAAGGTAACTTTCTGAAGTATTTCTGTTAATACTGGCTGTTGGTGGGGAGCAAATTTTGCTTTCTTTGCCCCAAAAAAGGAGATAATATTGAGGCAGCTTCATTCTAATTTGACAGTTGAGAACCTGCAATTGTTCCACAGACATTACAAAGGGTGCCGTTTTCTGTAACTAATTAAAATGTCTTTATAGTGGAAATATCCACGAGCCCCATATATACAAACACTATATAGACATATCGAATAGCACTATCCTGACTTTGGCTTTAAATTGGTAGCTTTTGTATTCTAGAATGTTTAAGCAATTTTCACACAAATTTCTACAGGTAATTTTGCTTCATTTGAAAGATCTAGAAATAGACATGGGGAATAAGCATTTTATCCTACACCTTCAGTTCACACCACTGGTGTAGCTGTTATGTTGTTTTCTGTGAAGTACATGAATCACAGCAACTTTAAACTTTTTTTTTATAGCCCTACCTGAACCTATCCTTCCATCCCTCCAAAAAAATTACCCAGTAAGTGCTTCTTATAAATTACTACATAGTATGTTTATTAAAAATTGATTACCTATAATATGACTGTTGCTATTTAACAAATTTGGGTAGCGGCAAAATATGCCTGTGACCATGCTTGCTAAAACTGCAATGAGCCACCATTGTGTGCCTGTGTATGTAGAAAAATCCCCTGCAGACCCTTTCCTTTTGTTTCATACAAACTAAATTTTGCAGATCTATTCCGACCATTTCTGTTGCCAGGAAGTAAGGCCCATTGATTTCATGGGATTTACTTCCAAGTGAAGTGTGCTTAGGACTGTGGCACATTTTTTTTCACGGCATATTAGTGTAGTTTAGTTGTGTGTTGTGTTTGTAGGGTACACCTACCCTGTGACTTATCACACCTCTTCCTGGTGCTATTCTGGATTCCAGTGCTGTTTATTTCATTTTCCTTCGGTCATAAGGTTCTCATATAGCTGAAACTTATCATAATCACAGGGTGGCAGGGGCAATCTCCACATATCTGTGGACCACACTCCCTGGACCTTGGAAAGCTGTTTCTATGATCCCAACCCAAAATACTTTTCTAAGTACAAAATGAGATCTGGAAGTTGAGTCACGGCAACTGGACTTCTTTCTTATTAAGTTGGAACGTTTTGCTACTCATCCAAGCAGCTTCTTGGTTGGACGGAGAAAATAGATGCTTTGATAGAGGGGGTCAAAGAGGCTTATACATGTGCATATAGAAAATCCCTCACTCAACAGGGGTGGGGGCATTAGATACAATCTGTCTCCTGTTTATCATGCTGTCCTTCCATCCATTCCCAGAAGGGTTAGGGACACACACAAGAAAGATTACTGTTAACGTCAACATCACATGACAATGGGTGGAGAAGGACTGCAGATGTGGGATTATCCCTCAACCCCAGTCCTTTGCTCTTCTAACGAACCTATTCAGACCAGGGGGAAGTGAAACCAACATGGAGAATATATCAGGGGTCTCCTACCATCTCTCTTCAGACTGAAGAAGCTACTTGGATGAGTAGCATTTCAACCTCAAAAGAAAGAAGTCAATTTCCCATGACTCAACTTCAAGATAGCCACACCTGGATGACTGAGAATCTTCACAGATACAAAATGAGATGTTTCACTGACAGAGCTTCCTTGTACACTTCAGTGCTCTTCTCTATTTTTTTTTAACTTTTGCAGGGGAAGGAGGAAGGGAGGATTGGAAAACATGACAAAACAACCTCCCACACCTTCTGGAGTGCACAAGAAGACTTTTCCAGCCCCCCTCCGAGATTTTTTTGAACATGTTTTTTAAAATCTCTTGGAGTGGGATGTGGGTAGTGTGGATCCCTAGGTGTGCTTAGAGCGACACTTGATTCCTAGGGGCTGCGTGCAGCTGGCAGGCTACATGTTGGCCACCTGTGTCTGGAAGTATGCACAGGCTTACTTTGGATCTAGGTGGACAAGAATAGCTTGTCTTGCCTCCCTCCCTAGATTTTTTAAAAAAAATATTCTCAGGACAACTGTGCATTTGAGATTTTGTTATACAGTGGACCCTCGACTTACAGACGGCTTGACTTACAGACTTTTCGAGTTACCGACTTCTCTGGCCGCAAAATTTAGGTTCGACTTGTAACCAGAGGCTCGACCTACAGACCAGAAAAAAACCAAAATGGAACAAAAACGGCTGGTTACAGGATTAATTGGTTTGCAATGCATTGTAGGTCAATGGAGACTCGACCTACAGACTTTTCAACCTGCAGCCACCATTCCAATACGGATTAATTCCGTAAGTAGAGGGTCCACTGTACTAGCACAGTTGTTAAAAATTCTGCAAGGAGCAACATGGAAAAGAATGACCTGTGAACCATATAGGGAAAATTTTAACACAGTGGACTAATTTCATACTGTGAGTGGGGTCTCATATGGCTGAAAATTCTTCCATGCACCTCCATCTCATCCGTGTGCCTAGAAAGCATGCTACTGAGATGTGTCTGGATGCTTGTTTTATTCAATGTAGTGAGAACTAGGCCAAAAACTCCAAACAGTGCTGTCTCAGAAACTGTTAATTAAAAGGATGATTTTTTTTTTTTGTGGATTGGTAGACTTTTAACATGGTGCTGTTAGAAATGTTTAGGGATTTGTGCCCTTTTTAGAAAATTCTGAAGGAGAAACTCCATACAAAGTCTGCACTAGATTTATTTAGAAATTCTTGCCATAAGCAAGGAACTTGTGTTGTTGTATAATTTTCATCTGCAGTATGGACTTGAAAGCTTTCCAGCTGCTCCAGAAAAATCCTTTTCTAGACTATCTGGCAGCAAAGTGACTGACTATTCTAAGGATACAAACTGGAGAGTTTACTCACTGCAACAAGTTCTAGAGGGGATATTTGTTTATTCTATTGTAACGGAAGTGATTAAGCAGACATTGTAGAATAGCACCTTTCTGTTTGATTAAATCATTTGTGAACCACCCGGAATAGTGCCTCACACTAATAAAGTGGTATAAAATTTATTAAATAAATAAACAAAATTAATATTACCAAGTTTAATGTGGCAGAAGCTGTCATGGTCATGATGTGACTTCATCAGGTGTCTGAAACTATCACAGATTTTTAAGGGGATGTGTATGAGTTGTTTTCCAAAGTGAGGTCCAAAGATCTAGTAATGCAAGATAGGACTGTAGGCATATCTTAGTACTATGCAGAGTACATGAGTGGGGAATCTAATGTAAAGAATCAGGTTGCTGCACTAGACTTCTTTAGTGCTGCTGCTGAGCCTTTGGTTTTTTGTGATTAATTGGATACGGAATTAATGTGGAAGTTTCAGGCAGCACAGTGCTACAGTATTCAATCGATTCTCTCATTCACGGGTAAGACAGTTCTATACAGTGGTGCCTCGCCTAACGAGCGCACCGTTTAACGACGAATCCGCATAGTGACGCGTTTTTGCGATCGCTAATGCGATCACATTGCGATGTTTTAGATAGGGAAAGCATCACATTGCAATGATTGGTGTTTCACTTACCAATCTTCGCATTGTGATGTTTTACAAACAGCTGATTGGCGGTTCCAAAATGGCCGCCCTCAGTGTTTTCGCGCCCTGCCCTCACTTACCGGGTGGCGAAAATGGCAGCCGGATGGAGGATTCCACGCATAGCGGTGAGTTTTTCCCCAATAGGAACGCATTAAACAGAGTTTAATGCATTCCTATGGGTTCCCCCCCGCATAGCAACGAATCCAGATAGCGACAATCCTGGAACGGATTAACATCGCTATGCGGGGCACCACTGTATATGGTTTAATCACAAGAAAGTAGTACAGTCCCTTGTAATGTTAGCTAGAAGTTTTTAATTTTAGGGCCCACCTATACTGTTTTAGAAGGAATTAGAAATGAACAACCTTTCAGTTGCCATAGTGTCTGTGTTTCCATGAGAGAAAGAGAGAAAATGATTATTGGTTTCCTTGCATTTTTTTTGCCTTTTATTATGAAATAAACGTATTCCTGAATTTTCAAAAAATTAAGGGTGGTGGTGAATAAAAAGAAATAAAGAATTAAAGCCTTTCCTCTCTAGAAAATAACAATTGAAAATGACATGTAAGGGAGGCTTACATGGCACTGTAGTTGTTATTGCAACAGAAAATCACCACAAATCAAATCTAAAGCAACACTTAAGCATGGAATGAGCACAAGAAAACTTCTGCTACGGTTTTGTTAAGTGTGTGTTCTCCACATGTGATAGAGAAAGTTTGGTAGTCCCTCCCCTTTGAATGCTGTATTCAGTAGGCAAAAGCAATAGGTTGAAAGGGGTAAGGTTATTTGTGCAGGCTCTCCGGGTAAACCCAAACACACTAAAAAATTTGAGGTTCTGGCTCATTCGAAGACCCTCCACAAATATAGCAGCCTCCTCCAAATTATTATTTTTGCTTATTGAAGACAGATCAGGACTGCCACATTCCTCTAATTGACAAACATATTCTGCAGCTGAATGAGGCTGCAGTGGAACAAGAAAGGCATGCATCAGGCAGATTTCTGGCAATCCCAGAGAAAAAAGGCTAATTAATTTTGTTCATATATTTATTAAAATATTTATATCCTGTACAGGTAATATATCTCATACCTAGTACAATGTAGTGGTTCCACTCTGCCATGGAATCTCACTGGAGTGGGGAGGGAACTGGTAAAAATGCAGTGGTGCCCCGCTTGACGAGTTTTTTGTGATCGCAAAACAATGGTTCCAATGGGGTTTTTTTGTTCGACATTGATTAGGAGCCTGCTTTGCGAACCGTTTGTTCGCTAAACAATGATTTTTCCGGTTCTGCAAAATGGCTTCCTTCCCTTCGCAAAATGGCTGCTTTCCGGACCCCTGCTTCGGAAGACAGCGATTTTAAACAGCTGATCGGTGGTTCTCTATGGGCGATCTTCGCTGGACGATGAGGTATTTCCCCATTGGAACGAATTAACCAGTTTTCAATGCATTCCAATGGGGTTTTTCTTTTTCGCTTGACGATGATTTCACTTAACAGCGATTTTTCTGGAATGGATTATCATTGTCAAATGGGGCACCACTGTATATCATTTACCTTGAAATCCCTTTTAGGCCCATTGTTAAGTCAGTTCCGACTAGATAGCATATGATCTATGGGTAGGGAATCGCAGGGTAACAACAAAACAGTTTGAAACAATTATAAAGTGATGTAACAGAACAGAATAATTATTGCCACTTATATGTTATATTACTGGGTCACTGACTTCTGGGGCTTGCTTGGCAAGAGTAGTAACAAAAGGGTTTGTCTGGAGGCTGCTTTAGTTTAATTAACTTCACATTTTAAGAAATGTGAAAGCAACCAGTGTAGTTGTATAGGATAACACCATGTTTTTACAGATTAAATAATGTATATGTGCTGAAGAAAAGAAGATGAAGGTTAACAACGCCCAGTCTTTCAGCTATCTTTTGAAAACACCCTCTGATCCTTTCTTCAGTTCTCTTGCTCACATATGTGTAGATTTAAGACAATTGTTGATGCTTCATATATTGGTATCTTGTTATGTTCAGTTGTGCTGAATCAGCTGTACAGTAAGATTGCCCACGCACTCTGCATATATTTATTAACATTGAAAATCTGCTTTATATAATGCTGATCATGTACCGTTCGACACCAGCAATTGCACATAATTTTTTCTATGGAACAATGGAAAACTTTGTGATATATGCAGCATTTTGGAATAAGCAGATTTAGTGTAGTGAATCCATGGCTTACGCTAATGTTAATAGAGAATTAATTTTCTGTAAATAGTTTGTAGCCAGTTTGTAGTTTAATATATTATTCATATACACTCCTACATTGCTGTTTCTCCAATGTTTTAGTGCAGTGCTGATTATTAATGTATAACTAGAATGATTTTAATCTAAATTCTGTATTAAGGTGAAATGTAGACCAGAAAGGGAAAAATGATCTGAAAACTTTCAGGATCACTACACACACACACACACCCGCCTGGCACCTTCATCAGGCAATACATTGTAAAAGGTGGAATGTAAGAGACATGGGAAAAGGGGAAACAGTTCTAAAGTTTTGTTCATGGTTGTGGTGGAATGGGAAGAAAAAGGCAGATATTCACATGTGACTGTTTCATATTAATGCCATTGGATTGCAACAGGAAGTAACAAAAACAAAGAAACGGAAAAAAAAGAAAGATCCTTTGTTATGAAAACAAAGTCTAGCTGTGGGCTCAAGCTTGTCTCTGTTCTGTTTGAAGCTCACAGTTCCTTGACAGGTGGAGCTTTAAATTCAGTTTTGATGCTGTACAGAATTTCACATTCTTAGTTGAACGGTGACTGGTTTAGCATATTTGTATGGTTACTCTCAACTTTATCGCTGCTCAGAGGCCACTAGTAATGGCACGGCTAAAAAATCTTGTAAATAAATAAATAGATAAATAAACCTTGCAGTGTTTGATGCAGCTTAATCTGCAAGGCCGTCTCCTGCTGTGTCTCTATTGAAGCAACCTGGAATTGTATACAATGTTTCTTGCAACTTCAAATTCCATATTTTCTTTCTGAAATGTATATCTTTTCCTTCAACAGCCAGTTGGCATTCCCTGAGGCAGCTTACATAATGCTTTGCTTTTCAGAATGGAGAAAAGTTAAGTATTAAAAGCCCTCGTGGAAAGATGCATTTGGTATCCAAGAACACAAAAGTTTCCCATTCTTCCACTCAGCCATGTTCTTTAGCCCCATGCCAGTCTGTATGAGCAACTGGGAATGCTTGACCTTCCTACCAAAGAGAGTCTGGAGTCCTCCATTTTGTGTGACTGGGTAGATTGCATCTTTTGAGTGGATTTTTTAAACAAGCATTAGCTTATTTTGCATATGCTGTCAACTAAAGTTGAGCACTGATGAGATGGATAAGCTGTTGGGAGCCAAATATTGGATAAAGACATACCAGAAGAAGATACACACTTGATTAGTTACCATCTGGTAGATGGAAGTTTGGGATTGAATATCTGCTCTGTCATTATTTCACTAAACATGTACTACACAGTCAGTAAAAAAAGGGGAGGAGGCATAAAAACAGCAATGAAAAGAGGAGCATATGTGAGACTCATATTTGCATGTTGCCTTTCCCTAGAGAGCAAACTGTTTTCTACTGAATGAGGCATTATTTTCTACAGAGAGGGAGAGGAAGTGGGCAGAGATGTGAGCCTGAGATACAGCCCAGTTAGGCTATATAGAAAAATTCCTGGCTAGGCCACATGGCTTGTCAAGTCTATGTTCTGAAATATTTAAACTTCTGTGTCATGTCATTGCATCTTATATTAGTCCATAGTCAGGGATCTTTGAGGTTATGAGGCCATGGTGTTATTGTGCATAACTAATCCTTTATTTATATGGATTTAGGGGTTGAATTGCTACAGCTTAAACAATTAAGCTCATTGAGATCTTAGAAAGTTACTCTGTTGAGCCTATAACTCCTGGAAATCTCCTGGCCAGTATGGCAACTATGGATGATTTACAAAGAACATTAGAAGTTGACTAAATGCCCATTTTTATTTAGCAAATGTGCTGTTTTCTTAGAAGTTTTAAATCTTCATATTAATTATGTATATAGTTATAGAATTCCTAGATACAAGTGATGCTATGATTGACTCTCGCTTGTCCATATCCTGCTGTCAAGAGATAAAATTTTGCCACTCTTAAGCTTCCTTAAGTTTCTCCTGTATTATAAGAACATGTCAAAAGCCTTCTGCATCTGCCTATCTTCAACAGTGGCCATTTAAATGGTTGTAAGAAGCCCACAAAAAGAGGCTTGTTTGCCATTTCTCCTACTCCTCACAAGCCGATACAGTATTTGTAGAGAACCTGTTTGTGAATTCAAGGGTCCCAGTTAGCTGTTGTAACAAATACCTGTTGACCAAATTCTCTTCCATAAATATTTTTTTTAAAAAAGCTGTCCATTACCAGATTTTATTGCAGGTAACTACATTATCTGATTATGTATTGCATATGTTTCCTTTTTCTCTTCTAAGACTTTTGCCAGTCAACTCCCCCTGGGTGACCTAACTAGAAAGGCTTTGACTACCCAAGAAGACACAGTGATGTATCTTTGCTTTTAACATGCAAAGGAACCAGTTTAAAAAGTTCTGATATCAGAAAGGCATGGAGCAGTTTTTTTGTCAGGATGGTGGCAAGCAAGAAATGTCTCCTCCAGACTGCTGCTATTTGAACATGATTAATGTGCATATCGACATCATGTTCAATTTCTCCCTGAAAGAGGAAGGAAAACATTCCTTTGCACATCATATATACTTTTACATAATCCTTATTGTTGTGCACAGTAAGACACATTTAACATATCTAGTTTTCCTTTAAAACAGGAGAAAAGTCTGTATCTGCATATCGTATATTCCTTTATTTACTACCTATGGTGTTTCCTTGTAGTCATGATCTTGTTGAACATGGCTGTGCCATAGATCAGTTTTAGACAATCTGATACAAAGGTGTCTTCTTCATTTGGCAGGTGATACAGATGACTGGCTTAGCACAGTGAACACTTAACCTTTTTTAGGGTGCCACTTGATAAATTACATCTTTATCAACCCAGAGTTGGCCCACCTAAGAACAGAAGAACTAACAGTTTATGAGAAGTCAAAATATTGTGTATTTGCTTTGTAATGGAAAGGCACAGGAAAAAGAATGAACAGAATCGTTCTGTATTTGGGCTAGTGCTATTTAATCTTTCACCAGGCTCTTGTGAATGACAGTAAATCTGAACAAGGGAGAATTGCATTCAGAACCCAGCATCCTTATTTTCTGTGCCAAGGTTTGACAGTATTTATTGTAATTCTCTGACAGTAAAATGAGATTTGTGATAGACCTTTCAGGAGGTGTAACAACAAATGAAATAAAGATTTTTGAAATGTTTGCATCTAAAATGCTAACAAAAATTATTAATAGGGTTTTGAGTCACCTTTCTGTTAAGCTGCAGTAGTGGATGTGAACTTTTCTGTGTCTGATCCACTCTGCCACATGCAGATGAGCATACGGTAAAAGCCTGAATTTGTTCACTCACACCTTTTTAGTGAAAGCCTATCTTACAAGCAAAGTACAGGATCAGGCTAGGATTAGTGATCTTCACTGTAGATGTAAATGAACTGTACAGACAGAAGAGCATATAAGATGGATGAAAGGCAATATATGCCCATTCATGGACCTTTGAAAACTACTTGCTTGCTACCTACCTCCGAAATACCTTTTCTTTGAATTTTTTTTAAAGGCTGATTTTACAGAAAAATGCTCTTCATGCTCTATAGTAGTCATTTTTTAAAGAAGTAAGTTACAATTTGATGAGGTGGCTGAGGGGCTCTGGAGTGCCAGATCTCTCAAAACATTTTTTCAGTATGAATTCATCCCATAACTTAAAAAAAACTTGCTGCTCACAACCACAGAGGGTACAACAGCTTTGTAAAAATGAATATTTTTTTTAAAATGGTGAAGGAGCCCCTTGATCCACATGCACCCCCCTCCGGGAGGGGGGGGGAAACTGAATTTAGCCCACAGGCTACACTTTTGCCTACCCAAAAACTATAAGAAATAAGGACAGGATAGAAATTGCAAACAAAAGGGTGGTTTATGGCATGGACAGTAAAAGTGTCTTTCTGGTACAAGGAAGCTGGTATTCCAGTTTCCAAGGTTTTTTCTATTTCCACAAGCAAGCAATAGTATGTTTAAATCACTATTTATTTATTTATTTATTTATTTTTGTGATTTTTAAATTGGTACATTGAGTTTTCAGAGAACTGGACTGGTCCAAATTACGTCTTATTTGGAAATATTACAGATTTACTTTTAATTGTATGCTTATTTTCACCTTTGATAGCATTTAAACTGTATAAACTAGGACACACACACAAAATCAGACCGTATTTTCTCTTTGTCTCACTGTTTCTGTAGGAATCATTTGACCCTACTATGCAGCTGCACCTTGTGCATCAGGCTCCATGCACCATTCCTCCCTACCTTTCAAAAAATGAATCAACACTTGGAGACCTGTTGCTGGGCTTCTTGAAATATTATGCTACAGAATTTGAGTGAGTGATCAGCACTTCATTTTAAGTGAACTTTGAGTGTCTCCTGTGCTCTGGCTGTTCTGCATCTGCACTGACTGCAGCTTTGAGAGGAATTCAGGACCTTGCATTTCCATTTAAGGGGAAATGCTTTCTTTCTTTAGTTTAAAAGCTATGGCTTGAAACTGATATGCACTACAAGAGGTTAGAGCTGTTTGGCTGTATGTATTCCAATTCAGAGCTTATTTGAAATGCAACCGAAGTATGTTTTGTTACAACAGTGGTGCCCAACCTTGGGTGACCCAGGTGTTGGATTGCAACCCCAAAGAAACCCTGGCCAGCACATTTAGTGGCTTCTGGGAGTTGCAGTCCAAGAACATGGTGGTCTCCCAAGGTTGCTACCACTGTACTAAAGGAAGAAGCTATCTGCTACATTTGGACTTATGGGCCTTAAGGATCTGTACAGGGCAACGTATTAGATCTTTCTATTTAAATATTAAATGAATATCTAATTCATTGGATGTCGTACCATGGTTATAAAATTACTTCTCTGTCTTGGATAGCCCAAGGAATCTCACCTGCTCCCCACTCTTGGCTAGGGCTTCTATTTTGGTCTCAACTCTCACAGCTGCTCCCAATGGAAGACTCCTGAGCAACATCTCTAGCAACTGCTCCCTCGTGCTGTTATACTTTGCACCCTCCTTGTGTTTATCACCAGTATTCCTATGTCAAGAGAATTTTGTGGAAGTAATTGTACAGCAGTGTTGGAAAGACACTGTTGAAATTCAGCTCATAAGTATGAATTGAATTTTGCTTCTCATTGCATGAAACTAAATTTGCCTGAATGTTACTTGCCCTGATGTATATGTGATTATGAATATCGTAAACAAAAATTATTTCTGTTTTATCACAGACTCTATTTAGACAAAGTAAAACCTAGAAATATATCTTGGAAAAGGGCTGGGGGGAAAGACAGATTTCCAAAGTTTTATGTCTACAGTCCTTCAGATATGCAGAGCCTCTTGCTTACTCTGATTTTTCGAGGAAAGAATGTTTATCTGGCTGGCAGTAACGAAGTAAAAGTTCCAAATAGCTTCCTTACAGTCATTAAATCATATTATGAAATTAAAGATTGAATGATGTTGCTCTTCTTTAGAATTATTCCTATAATGAAATTGTCACTTAAATGCAAAGTTCATAAAGTAATTAAATTTGTCCTAAACATGTATAAGAAATTTAGAAGTATATTTAGTAGTAATGTTTTCCTAGGCATGTAGTACTGCATTTTCACACTGTGCTAACTGTACCTTGAATTGTGCCTAGAGGAAATGGTTGCAAATATCCAACTGAGGTATTCATAAAACTCTACTTTTAACTGTTATTTTTGAGTTCCATAATATTGTTAAGATGCCGTATAAATCCAAACCTATTTATTACTTATTTCTTTATTTAAAATATGTTTACCTTGCCTTTCAACTTAAAAAGGACCCAAGGCAAATTACATAATTGAAAACAATATTTAAAGCTAAAACAAGTATGTAAATACTAAAAGGAACAAACAAGTACTATTCTGAGAAATGATAAGCACAAGTAGTACTAAAAACCCAGTCAAAGCAGTGAGGCGCAACCATCCATTTAAAACGCCACTCAGGAAGCCAGTCACTAAGTGACAGCTTGCCTGAAGAGAAAGATCTTTGCCTGCTTGTGGAAGGACAGCAAAGATGAGGCCAGACTGGCCTCCTGTGGGAGGAGTTCCAAAGTGTGGGAGGAGCAACAGCGGAGGCTTTTTCCTGTGCCCCCTTCAAATGCACTTGTGAATGTGGTGGGACCAAAGGCTTCTCCTGATTATCTTAGCATCCAGGCCAGCTCATAATGGGAGATATGGTCTTTGAGATGGCTTGGACCCAGGCCATTTAGAGCTTTGTAGGTTAAAACCAGCAGTTTGAATTGTGCCCAAAAACAGATTGTTTAGCCAGTGGAGCTACTGTAACGGGGTTATGTGATCCCTGTAACCAGCCCCAGTCAGCAATTTGGCTGCTGTGTTTTGAACCCATTGAAGTTTCCTGACACTTTCCATCAACCGCCTCATATAGAGTGTGTTACAGTAATCCAGTCAGGATGTAACTAAGGCATGTGTCACCGTGGCTAGATCAGATCTCTCAAGAAACTGTCATAGCTGACACACTAGTTTTAATTGTGCAAATGCATTCCTGGCCTGCTGTTGGTTTGTATTTGATTAGATAACTGTGGTGGGGATGCAAAGATGCATGTTAGCCCCTCTAGTGCCCTCGCCCCGCAAGATGTCAATCAGACTTCTGTGTTGTTTGGTGGAAACATCTGAAGAGGAACTTATAAATAGATTTGATTGAACACACTTGCAGTGCGTTTGTGATCAGGACCATTAGCAAGTCAGGGCTCCCATTTATGGAAACATGTTGTTCTGAAGCACCTCTTCAGAATTTCAGATGCAGAAAGTGCATCATGGGGATGATGGGGTTACTTAGGTGTGCAGCCCCATACCACCCACAATTACTTTGGGCTACAATACACAGACAGGGTTATTGTTTCCCTTATATTTTGACCAGCAGAAGAGAATTACAGTACTTTGTTTTGGGGACAACAATGCTGAGGATTTAGGAAGGGAAAGATTTAGGTAGGAAGTGTCCATAATAATATCAGATAGAATAGTCTCTCTTGTCCTTTTCTTAGGTGGCTAAATCTCTGCTTAATTAAGAAATTATGAATGTTGCTTCTTCCTTTAGTTCTCTCATTGGCAACAAACACTTCATAGTGAAAGAAGATTATTAATATTTTGGCTTTCTGGCTATGCTGAAGTTGCAGTTCCTTTTTAGTGATGTCAGAAGCCAGATGGATGCTATAAAAAAAAGATATTCACAGTGTAGCAGAATGACATTGCTGCCTGTTGTGATCTGCTTAATTCTCTTACATAACTCTTCCCTTTAGCGTCTTTTTCTTAAATTTATTGCCTAGTTGGGATTCAAGCCAAATGATGCTGTAACACCTCTCTTTCCTTTGACCTACATTTTCTGTTGACATTTTGTTAATGGGATTCAGCCAAAAATGGGGTATCAGGCGGTCAGCTTTAGCCCACTCAGAATTTCTGATATCCAGTGCAATTTCTTCCCCATAATCCTAACAACTTTGGCCCAGTGTTGCCTTTTCTTGAATTTTCTCATTTTTATGGTCCATTCCAGCCCCATTGGCATTTCTAGGAGATTTACCCAGGAGCTGTCTGAGTTGTATTCCACTCTTGCCAGATCCATCAAAGTACTGTGTTTACAGACTAAAAATGATCCCATTTATTTATATGTGCGCTTATACAAGTATTACCAAACAGTTCTAAAAATTGTTTTCCACTTACCAGCTGGAGCAGTCAGATGATTTCAGTTCGTGAAGCCAAAGCCATTCCAAGACCCGATGGCATTGAATGGAGAAACAAATTCATTTGCGTAGAAGGTAAATTCTGTACCATTGTAGTAACTACAGTGTTTGGGAGATGACTTCATTGTCCTTGCCTTGAAAGACGCTTTAGAGCTGCTGTCTTCTGCATTCTCCTCCCACTATGCAAATAATGATTACTGCTGCCATTTTTCAGAGAGAATAAAAGGAGATAATGATAGACTTAACTATGGAGTCATTTCCCAATCCACATTATATACTCCTAAGAAAAAAAAATTATATAACTGTGACAAGATGAATAGTTCACATTTTAAGAACAAATGTTATTTAAACCTAATAGAGACAACTGTAGTCCTCCATATGATACAGTCATGTATCAGTTTATGTGAGATAGTCATATTTTATTACTTTCATAAAATTCTGTTTGATGACTGCAAGTTTAGTTCAAAATGAGTATCACACATGGACAAGTCTGGGAAACACTAGGTAGTGGTTCACAGGCTTGGGGGGCGTACTTACTTAGACTGCTGCTCTTAGAAACCTTAGCTAGCATGCCAGTGGTCATGGCTTCTGGGAGTTGTAGTCCAAGATCATCTGGGGTTGATGTTTAAGAATCTTTATTCTAGAATATGATTTACTCAGGTTGCATGAGGCAGTGGAGGAGTTCTTCTGACCCTTTTATTCCTAGTGTGAGCCAAAAGGTACAAGAATAAAGTATCTTGGATGGTGATGCCCTTTTAAATGTAAGACCAACATCCCAAAGACATTGATTTGACTTGTTTCCTCTTACAGTGGACTTATCATAGGATTGCTTCTTAAAATGGTAAGAACTGGATTTCAGCTACTGGTGTGTCTTCAGGATGTTGGCTTTATATTTACTTTTTTTTTCAAGAGAAAGTCTCGGCATGACTTATATTTTCCCTGCAGTTTATTAGCAGTTAGACACATTCCCCTTTTCATCTATGTATTGTATAAAGCTTATGCCACAACCATAAACCTATGTCACGTGATCTAAGCATATTCTATAGACTTCAAGAAATGTGCAAACTACATCACTTATAATTCCCTTTTTGTCTTTTCAGAACCTTTTGATCGAACAAACACTGCTAGAGCAGTACATGAAAAGCAGAAGTTTGACATTATTCTGGATGAATTTCGAAAGGTAAAAGTGTTCAGTAATCCTAGAAAGTGCTATAGAAATATAGAAAGTGCTGTAGAAACAACAACACCATGCTGTACTCCAAAACAGTGCTTGTATGCAGTATACAAGCACTGTTTTGGAGTACAGCATGGTGTTGTTCTTCTAGTATGTAATATCTAGCACATATTTCTGCTTCATTGATTTGATCTGATTCATTGATTCTTCTGCTTCAAGAACTTGGAACTTCAGTTTTGTGTTTCTCAAACAGCAGCTCCCCAAATCACAAGGGAAGTGATTTTCAAACTAGAGGACACCTTAAAAGCAAGCAAGTGCAGCTTGTTTTACAGCAGGAGTAGGCAAGTTGTGGCCTTATATTTGTTATTCCATTTTGGCCCATCTAGCAATGAGGAGTTGTGGGGTAATCTGGCAACTTCTGAAGGGCAGCGTGTTGCCATCCCCTGGTTTATAGCAAATGTATCTGTTTGAAAAAGAAGAGCAAGAAAGCTGTGCTGGGAATGACCGAACGTTTAGGTATATGGAGGATCCTGGTCTCATGATTTTCTTCGGATTCAAATTGTTTTAGTTGTATCATTACCCGAGTAATCACAGTATCATATCTATAAAGTATATGCTGGTACTTTATCTTTTGAAAAATATTTAGGAAGTGTTTTTTATAGTTTGAGACAGAATTTTGTGAAGATGTACCATGTTGTAGACATTCCTTCTAATGGCCAGAATCCTGCAACAGGAGACTCTTTTTTGGGGGAGTAGTTTGTGTCCTGCTGTCTAAAGTGACTTTGCATACCATCCAAAAACATACAACAACATATGTGGTGGGCGGTGTACAGGTGTAATGACATAGTTGGGCTGAGGTCACTGCATTTTATGCTGCTTTAGTTTTCGTTTGGTTACAAGGCCTGCTATTCATTTTGCAATAATGGCTTAAGTTCCAAGGAGTCCTTATGTATTTATGACTTATTTTGTTCTATCCTGTAGTCATGGCAGAGACTGAGAGACAGGAGGGACTTGAACTGTATACTACCTTTGCGGGCAACGGTACAGAAAAGATGATTGGCTTCTATTTCCTCAAGCAGATCATTCTGAAATGCTATACAAAAGACATTTTCCAAACCACAGGATGCAATTTTTTCTTCCTTCCCCAACTGCACTTTTTAAAAGAGACTTTTTCTTTAAATTTTTGTTAAGGAAACTTTTGTAAAACTTTAAAAAGGCATAACTAATTAAACTGAAAATCATTAGAACCATTTGAAGACTGGATTTCTGAAACAGATTGGATCAGTGACCAATAAAGAAACTGCTGTAATACAAATACAGTAAATCTGTTGGAGTTTGATTTTATTGTTAATGTGTGTATTCTTGTGGTTGGCTCAGCTACATCAAATATTAAAAAGTGTCAAACAAAGAATTTTGTAATGTACACCAGGCCGTGACATCAAAGATCACCATATGTCACCCACACCCTTAAAAATAAATAGTCTGTGCTTTGTAACTTTGCTAAATGCAAAATACACTTTGGCTGTGTTTGGCTGTTTCCATCCTTTTATAGACATATTACAAAACAAAACAAAAAAGCAATGTTTAGACAAAATAATAAGTTTATTCTAAATAAGGCTGTAGAACTAAGTTTCAGTGAGCTGGTAAGCATGTGTCTGAATTTTAGCATTTGAGATTGCTTGGGGGCAAAGTTTGAAAAAGTTGCCCAATTGTACTACAGCTCCCAGAATGCCCCCAGCAAGTCATGCTGACTAGGAATTTCTGGGAGTTACAGTCCAGAGAAGGAACCTTCTGGAGCTCTGCATGATTGAACAGTGATTCAGACTATTTCAATATGGAGAAGTAGACATTAGGAAAAAGTTATATTAGAATACTTTGTGTGTGGAATGTTATCCCATGAAGGCATACTGTGTAAGGCTGTGCTTTCTGTCAGAAGCATCGCAACTCAGATAGGAATTTACAGCCTCACTGAGCGCATCTGAATCCCAGGAGCTGAAATGTGAAAGCAGCAGAGCAACTAGAAGGCAGTGGAACCATTCATAATGGGTGTGTGTAACTGGTGGCTTGCTGAGGTGAATGAAGCTTACTAGCCATGTATTCTGGGCCCACCACTTGTTTATTCTGCCTGCCTGGGGATGCAGAAAGAAAATGCAAATCTAGGATGTTGTGAGGCATTTTGCATGTCGGGAGAAAGCATGGCCATTGAGGTTGGGTTCAGCTTGATGCACAGAAACTGCAGCCTCCCCCCCCTCCAGCAGAAAACTCGGATAAATGAGTAATAGTCATTGACTGGCAGCTCTGAGCATTATAGTGAAGCAGGGGGAGAGAAAGCACAAGCAAAAGTTCTGCATCCTCTTAACTGCACTTTGTATAATATAGGAAAATAAGTGGGCAGAATTGATACTATTGCTTGTGTCCTTCCCTTCCCATATTCCAGAATAAGTGTTAGGAAATGTCATTCCCTTGCACCTTCACGTAGCCCCCTCTGCTTTGCTTTGTTGTATGATGTGGAGCCACCCGGGGTAAGATTCCCTTCCTGTAGTTTCCTTCCTTTGCCAGTAAATCATTGTAGTGACTGCTAAAAATAGCTGCTACAACAAGACAAGTTTTAAAATTTTTGTTTCTATGTCGTGTAAATATTAAGTTGGTCAGCTGCTATATTAATTGGAACTTTAAATATCTCTTAAATTATGTTTTTTTCCAGGGACTGTGGGACTTTTTAATAGATCTACTGTAGCACAATTTGTGCCTCCTATATTTATTTCAGACCAGTTCATATGTTAACAAATATCACTTTTCATTATGTCAGTTTTTCTTTTATTATCTCTTTTAAGTTGAATGTTTTATTGTGTTAAGTGGAATAAAGTTTCTATATTGAAAATGAAAGTACCTTTTCTGTTGTTTGTTCCCTTCGGCTCTTTGACTTATTTTGATGCTTTCCCAGTAGTATTGAAAAAAGTCCTTTTATAGTCAAGCATTTAGAAGGAATCTGGACTTCACACTTTTTAGTCTCAATCATGAGGTTTCTTTAATATTTACATTAATCATAATCATAATTGTGTTCAGAGATTCAATCTACATATTGACATATATACATGCAAAGGTTAGGCATATCTTCCTAAATGAATAGTCATATACATCACATTGCATTGCTAGTAGATCCTAAATGTCGTTGATATGGGATTCTCCATTCACATCAGCAGAGGCAGTAGTTAGGAAAGTGGCCTGGTGGGTTTGTATATCCTCTTAACACAAAATGGGTTCCAGATACAGAAGAGTGATTTTTTTAGCAGTAATCATGCCATATCATTAACTTGAAATTAAATCTTTGGATCGCAACAGGTATTTTAAATTAGATATACTATATAAATTGTGTGGCAGCAGAGTTTACTAATACTGGGCAAAATCCTGTTCATGCCAGTGTAGCATGACGTTAACCTGGTGTAGATGTACGAGGCATTATGCCAAGCAACAAAGAATTGGACAGTCACACACACCCCCAGTACAGCTGATCACACAAGTGCAACAGCAGAGGTGCCTTGGAAATACACCAACTGGGCACTAGCACTGTTGCCGAGGGTAGAATCTAGAGTTGTGTGTGCATATAATTGGATTTGGGCCACTGAAAGGTTTTGTACATCCTGTCTCAGACTGACTAATTAGTTGTAGCATTTGATACCTTCTGGCTCTTCTAATAAACCCATGGAAAAAAATAGGTTATTGGCCACAGGGATTACATAACCCCCTGTTCCAGCAGCTCCCCTGGCTGCCAATCTGTTTCCAGGCATAATCCAGAGTGCTGGTTCTAATCTATAAAGCCCTGAACAATTCAGCTCCAATCTATCTCAAGGGCTGCATCTTTCTTTATGAGCCTACCCTGGTGCTAAATCAGGAGACCCCTTTCTCTTGATCTCACCAGCCTCACAGGCGCATTTGGTGGGGACATGGGAGAGGGCCTTCTCTGTTGCTGCTTCCAGACTTTGGAACTCCCTCCCACAGGAGGCCAGGCTGGCTCCATCTTTGCTGTCCTTCCACAAGCAAGCAAAGACCTTTCTCTTCATAGAAGCTTTCCCTTAGTGACTGGATGCCTGAAAACGCTTGTTTAATGGATTGCTGTGCCTTACTGCTTTGAATGTACTGTTGGTGTTCCTTTTGTATACCATTTCTTAGTGTGTTGTATTTGATTCTTTTTAGTATTTTGTATGCTTACAGTTTTTAGCTTTAAATATTATATTTTAATTATTTAGGCCACCTTGGGTCCTTTTTTTAAGGAGAAAGGCAGAGTGGAAATGTTTAAAATAAAACAAATTTATTTTAACATTCACATGGGCTGCTGCATCCACTTTGTTGAACCAAGGGCCCACAACATTCACAGCTGTGGAGTCATAACTGTGGAGAATGGATGTTTCTTTCTAGAAATAGGAGACAGTGAACATGTTGGGCTCAATCCAGCATTTGTCCTACTTGAGAGCAGACTCATGAAAATACTGGGATTTAGTAAAAACTAACTTACTGTAAGTCTCATTGATGTTAGTGGGTGTATACTAGGTTAGGAATGTTGATTGTGATCTTGTTCCTCTATATGCATTAGATATGGAATATTCATTATTCATATCCATGGGGATACAAACACAAATATTGGCACCACAGGTTCCTGGGAAAACGACACACACCTGAACCAGCAGGTCCACTTACTGCTCATTGCACATGGCCAGTGTTGTACTTGTCACACCAATCTAGAAAGCAGACCAGCTGGCACTTCCCTACCTCCCCGCACAGCTGACCACTCCGACAAGTAGGTGGGATGATGGATCTCTCTGCTCAGCTGATGAGAGGTTGGCTGTGCTGCTTCCTGGATTGCCACGACGAGAACGACGTCAGCTGCATGTAGTAAGTGGACCTGCTAGTTTGGGGTTGCTGCCTTGTATTGCTATTTAAAGTACATGTGCAGTTTATTTTAAGCAATAATATACACAGGGACTCTACAATTTGTGTCTTTCCTTAGATATCTAGACTACTAGCAATCCCCTAAGGCAAGGGTACCCAACCCCTGGTCCGCAGCCCAATGACAGTCCGTGGGCTTCCCGGAATTGGGCCGGGGAGACGGATCTCTGCCTTCCCGCCTCCATGCACGGTAGGCGTGTTGTGCTCACGCAGGGGTGTGTCACGCTCACGCAGGGGTGTGTTGCGCTTGTGTGCATTTGTGCAAGCATGACACCCCCAATGAGCGCAGGGATGCCCCCACCCCCATGCATGGAGCCCCCCCAACGTCCGCGGTACCAAAAAGTTTGGGCACCACTGCTGTAAGGTACAATATAGATAATATGGCTGGGTTTTCTAGATATAGAAGAAACGAGTGAGTTACCATTACCATGAGGAGTCAACAAATTCATTTGTATGAAGTTCTAAGTGGGCCCACTGTCATCAATGATTTCCATGCTCAGTAAGAGTAACTGGTTTGCATGAGGAGTCAACAAATTCATTTGTATGAAAGTGGGCCCGCTGTCATCAATGTTTTCCATGCTCAGTAGAGTAACTGGTTTGTGTATTTTGCTCTCAAGAATGCCATGTCTCCATTTGTCCTTCCCATCAGCAAAGCCTATACAGTATTGGGTCATTTATTCTAGTTCATGGTGCTGCCCTTCATTCTGCCAATTCTGCTATATTCCCCAAGTACCTGGCACCAGTGATCACCTTCCTGAGCACCAATGCGATCAATATTTTCCTTTCCATCAACAACAGACTAGTTGTGGACTCAAGTCCCTGGTTGATCTCCAACATCAACTGTGACCTTGATACTTTATCTTGAGCTGCAGATCAGTGATGAGAAGTATCACCTTATACTTGTGTTAACCAGTATTTAGGCATTTATTTGGTCTTCACAATGGTGTGCTTTTTCTCCTGCTAGACCAACCACAAACTCTAGCTGCTTTGGCATTTTGTCTAACTTCCCAACTGATATCTTCTGTCAGTATAGTGCCTCCTCAGTATAATGGCATTGACCATTCCCCCATGTACACCTTCAATCCCTGCAATGTTGGTTTCTGCACAATTTTGACTGGGAGTAGGACCATAGTACCCACTTTCCTAGTTTTACCAAATAGGGTTTGAGCTTGTCTGCTGAATGATATTGTCCAACTGGGCACTCTGTTTCTACAACCTCAGTCAAAATGCAGTGGAGATCAGTAATTATGCATACTCTTTCAGGGAGATCTCTGCCCAGGTGATCTTGACCTCTCCTGCCTAGGACAAGCTGTCTGGTATTTGATAGTATCCAAAGGGGTCAGATGTAGCAAATGGTAGCCTGTGACAGAATGTAGCGCAAAATCTGATGAATCATATGACATAGCCTTTCTAGAAATCACAATACTGTGAATTGTGCTTAGAAAGCAAAAAGAAACCAAGCTTTTGGATGGCTGGTGTAATACACTCCAAAAAAATGCTGCTGCTGCTGTCATGTGGCGAGTCCATGTTCTGCAGCTGCTGCTTTTCTTCGTGAGACCCAAACAAATGCCAGGAGTAGCTTGGTAAGGAGAAAGGAAAGATTTGTCAATGAAGGTTATCAAAATACCAACAGTATCAATGCCGTTAGCTGAGCCCTCCAATGCAAATAACCTGAGATAACCATACCCTTAGTTCATGACGGTGTGGGCCTCTCAGGGTGCCATTAATTTTTCTCAAGAGTAAAGAGCTAGGCAATAATTCGTTCCAGCTTTACCTGTTCTGTGTATCTCACTCAATTCAGTAAATACAGACTGTAAAACATGGGGAGTGTTAAAGGAGAGACAGTGAGCAAGTATGGATATTGATCGCTTCCATTCAGTGTGCAGGTTTATGACTGAATAAAAGAGAGATGCAGGGTTAGGATAACAGACAGAAAAAAGGAGACAGAATGCCAGGCAGTCAAAGAGAAGGCCATCATAAGACATTTTATTACCTGAGGCAAAGATGGTACTCCCTCCTACAGATGACAAGAGTCTGCACAGCCGGTGGTTAGAATTTCTTCAGTTCTTGGGATAGGCGAGTGTTCTCGGACACATCTGAGTCAGAAGGCTAGTTTGGACAGGGGAAGGATGGCTTTTGTGAAATACAGTATATAGTTCTGGCTTCCAAAAAAGGTGTCACTGCTGCCGGCAGGTATCAGCCAGCTGATCCGATTTCTTCGCTCTATCTAATGGTGGGGCTGGCCTTGGTGAGTGAGTATGTAAGAGGGAGGAAGAGAAAGAAAACATGTGTTGAAAAGCCTCTTACATAATGCAAGAAAGGCTCAATTCACACAAGCCCTTTTGAATTGGCTGAGAGCTGCTTTTAAGCCAAACACGAATGCACCTATGCTTCTGGGGCCACCAACTGTTGCATGTGCCTTGTGGCTGATGACCAGAGGTGCTGCAACAAAGCCAGTTCAGTTCCAGTTCTGCCACTTGTTTATCAAAGTAGTGGACCTAGAAATAAACAAGGTGGTGTTAGGACCCAGCAGCATGTCCCAGGTGGCAGCAGCAGTTTGGTGTTTCAACTTTCCCTAGTTCTATTTAAAGACTTTCCTGAGTCAGGAGAGCTGAGCTGCAGTGGGTAACAACAGTTTGCTTCGGGCAACTCTGGAGACTCTTGAGGAGAGGGGAAAAAACACAGAAAGAGGACAAAATGGAGACTGACTGCAACTCCGTGTATGATGGGTCACCCGATGTCTCTGTGGAGGAGGAGGAGGAAGAAGAAGAAGTTGAAGCCCAAGGACACCGGCTCACTAGCAGGTATGATTTCTTCTCCAAAGAAACAAGCACACAGGATACCAGCTGCCAGGAAGTTCAGGAAAACTAGGATGGAGAGAGAAACCCAGCTTTGTGCAAATCCAGTATATGGCATCAAAGGAAAGGGAAGTTTTAAGAATGAGGGGGAGTTTTCTGATGAATCTCAATGCAGCTGGTTGTGATTCTGAAATGCCTGGTCTGTGCGTGGAAGGCATTTTCTATTTAAAGCTCCTACGTTGTGCCAGTTGGATTAGCATCTCCTCCTGCTCCTCCTTTCCTGGCTGGGTTGCCATCATTAAATATCTGTCTCAGTTATGCTAGGATCGTGGGTTTTGGGAAGGGAGTGTAAAAGGGCTGAATTCTAAAAGCAGAGTTCTGATTTGTTCTGTTTAAAATAGTGTCATACTCTGTTCAGGGAGAGGTTGGGGAGAACTTCAGATTCTAGAGTTAAGCTGGAGTTGGTTTGTAAAGAAAAGGAAAAGAGGAGGGTCGGAGGCCTACGTTTGGCTCAGAGCCTAGAGGCCATTTACTTTCACATGTGTCCTGTATGATTTGTCCAGCTCAAAAGAGCAGTGCCCTTTCATATGGAGTAATTACCTTTTTTTGCTTTCTATACCAGCTGTGTCAAATTAGAAGACGTTTTCTATGTCAGTCAAACTACATGTGCAAAGGTGAAGGTGGCAGAAGTATTGGAGAGAATTCTAACAGGATAGGTCTCAACCATAACCCTATATTCTGATGATTTATCTTAATAAGGGACAAGGGAGAGCATGTAACATCGTTTTAATTTTCAATATGAGCTAACTTGCTGGAAGGGAAACTAGCTGTATGTAATCACCTGGGAAAGTACATCCAGGTCATGCAGTCCAGTCTCCCTACTTACTGCACGAACTGATGTCTTTCTAGCCTCTCCTTAGATCTTCCTGCTTTGGCTCATGCACCTGCTATAGGGTGGATAATGTACCTGTCACCTTATCTGCCAACATGTTGCACTGAAAATGTGGTAGCCTGGATCAGTTTTAATGAAGGGATAATAAACTGTCCCATAGACCTTCCATAGGATAAAGCCAGAGTTTGAGAGGAAAATGGCTGTCCTACACATTTGAGCTAATTTCCTCCACTCCTCCAGTTCCTGCAATGAGGAGGGAGGTTACCTTGCAAACAAGTGGAGGAAATGAGCTCAGAAATGTGCTAGGATAACCATTTCTCACCCAACCTCTGGCCTTATCCTATGGGAAGACAGTTTTTTCGTCTGTCCATTAAAACTGGTCCAAGCTAGCACAGCAAAAGAGAGCACCAGTAACGAGCATCATTAAATCAGGGCAAAAGAGTGTTCTTAGGAAGTAACAAGGGGACCGAGACAAGATCAGATTTCCCCCAGAAAATAAGATCTATTGGCAAAACATCATGAAGCAACAGCACTATAAGCATCTTGCCAGGAAGAGACCGTGAATGGAAGGGAAAGAGGTGTTGCGGGATGAGGAGTGACTACTACACAACAGCCCATTTGGTGTGGGGGTGGAGGGTAAGGAGGAGATGAAGGCATTGCAGAGGATTTGGAGAAAGCAGAGAGACACAAGAGGAGAATGCTGACTGAAGGATGCACAGTGGGAGACCAAGCTGTAATCACACCAACAGAAGGGAGAAAGAAGGGACTACTCAGAGGAAGGGGAAGAGCGGCTGCTAAGACAGGCTGGATGTTTGGACTTCCTAGACTAGTTATTATAGGTTTGGAGGACAAAATCAGTATACTTTTGAGAGAAGCAGAAAGTCTTGCTAGGCTAGCAATGGGGCTCAAACCACTTACTCAAGCTTTGATGTTATGGGAGGGTGGCTTTTCTTCATAGAGCAACACTTGTACAAGCAGCAGGATCCCACCTCATTATGCTCGCAGGAACTTCCTACTCAGTGTAGTTAAATAGGATGCTAGCTCATTTAACCTTCTTCCAAATGGATTAAAAAAAACAACAACGTGCATCCAGCGAGTAGAAGGATATTTTCTAACCCAATGATGTTCCAAGTGTTGAACAGCATCCAAAATCAACTCTGAGGGAGACCTCTATTGAACCAGTAAAATATTTTAAAAACTTGCCAAGTAAATGTAGGATTGGAGAGATGTCTCCTGCAGCATACACAGCAACCTATCTCTTGGCCCATTAAAAACTAATGAATGTGTTACGATTTTAATTTTCATGGACTGCAGCCCATCAGAGGCTACCTTCAGGATGGCTTCTTTTCCTTCAAAATGTTTTTATTTCTATGTTTAGAGTTTTGGAGCCTCCTTTTCTCAGGCTAGGTGAGTGCCTACCTCAGGTGAACAAAAACATTTGCCCAACGAGTTTTATGATTTATTTATTTTAATTTTTTTTTATCCCACCTTTTTCCTTAAAAAGACCCAAGGTAGTTTACAACAATTAAAAGACAATATTTAAAAGCTAAAACCAGTAAGTACTGTATACAAATACTGAAAAAGGAATTAAGCAAATATTTATATTAAAAACGATAAATAAAATCAATACTAAAAACACATGTAAAAAAAAGAGCACAACAATTAAAAAAAACCTCTCTGAGGGCCACCACCAGTTCCGAAGGAAACGTTTGCCTGAAAAGAATGGTCTTTGCCTGCTTGCGGAAGGACAGCAAAGATGGGGCCAGTGTAGCTTTGTCTGCGAGCAGGAGCCCTCCTCAGTTATGACTGGGTGTGGTCGGCCATTGTTTTCTCCCAAGAATGGAATCCCACTTCATTCAGGTAACAACAGAGGAGGTGTCTTTGCCTTTCTGTGGTCATTAAAGGCAACTTTTCTTTCCTGATGAGGATCTTTATCATTGGGCCTTGTCCCTTTACCATCACCGGCACTGCAATGATTCCAAGATGCAGACTTATCTGAGGCTGAGATCTCCTCTTGAAGTTGAGTAGAATATTTACTGTGGGGAAAAGTTTGCAAGCATGTGCAGTGCAGAGAATACAACATCATGCGACCTTGTCTTTGCAAGACAAGAGGCTTCCCAGCATGGTCCATGCTGACAGGAGATGATAGGAATTGTAATCCAACCTAGGTGGAAGGAACCAGACTGGGGGAGGCACCACTCTAAGGTCTTCACTGATTAAACTTTATTCAACTGGGATGTGTGTGTGTTTGTGTGTGTGTGTGTGTGTGTGTGTAAACTTTCAGACCCTGTTTGTCAAACTGTGTTTGCATTAATATATGATGGATGTACAGCTTTGCATTTCTTACACACATTCTAATTAGCCAAATGGGCTCCCTGTGTGTGCCTGTGTTTGTGTAGCTTATGAAGACCAGTGGGAATGTGATTAATGGAAATTACTAATGTGAGTTGATGAATGGGTGGGATGTCTCTGGGAACTCGCCCAAGTTATTCTCAAGCTCCTTCCTTGTAGGTTATAGCTTTTTTTACAACATCGAGCCAGACATTCATCTTCAGGATGAGCTCAAATTGGATTACAGATGTGAGAGTAGCAGGGCCAACCCAACCATTAGACAGAGTGAGGCAGTCAGCTCAAATAGCAGGCATTGAACGTGCCATAAAAAGGAGAGGTTGTTGTGAGATGTTTTCCCTTAGACATTGAAATGCCTTGCTTTGCCTAGGGTGCTGCAAATCTTGACTCCAGGATGGGGCATTTGCTCTTCCCATCTAGAGAATAAAAAGCCTTCGGTAGGCTCTGGAGAGCAGAAAAGTTAAGGTGTCTGGCTGTGCATTCCACGCTGCTCAAAGTGTAATAGTGAGCCATTACTACATTTTATAGCAGCATTTTATGGGAAGAGGGGAAGAGTTCATGGAATCCAGTGCTTCTCTGTTGCATTCTCCCTGACCCCAAACGGGATACACTGGCAACTGATTTTATAGGGGCAGTTTTGGATTTTAGACCAAACATTCAATGAGCTTTCTACAGATCTGGATCTGTTTTGGGGACAGGCTTCAGCAGCTTAGATATATCTTTAAGAGTTCAGAGCAGAACCTAAAATGGATTCACCACCCACACAAAATCATAGTCACAAATTTCCACTGCTCAAAGCATTTATCAACAACTACTTGTGTTACTGTTCTTACTCTTATCCATTATTGGATTTTTTTGGGGGGTGGGTGGGGAGAGAGTGTGGAATTTTTATATAGATAGGGTCAGGGAGAAAGAGAAATCTGTGGTTCAGAGGCAGAGTGAAGGCATTGCATGCAGAAAGTCCAACCTTTGACTTCTGCCATCTCTAGACCAGCCTGAAACCCTAAAGAGCAAATACCAAGTCTGTGTTGGCAATATTGACCTAGGCAGACTAATGGCCTGAGTAAGGCAATATAATAGATTTAAGACAGAGTTGCTCTATTTGGGTGCTTGAATGTACCACCCACTTCATGGATTGTCCACATGCAGAAGCTATGCTGCTGGCTTTACCTCTTCCCTGTGTTTTGCACAGAAGTTAGTGCTAAACTTGAAGGCTGAAGGTACTCATTATGAGCAGCCTCCACCACCATGCTCACATAGAGAGTCCAAAATCAGGCTGGCATCTGTGTCCATCCAAAGCAGGAAACCAGTCCTAGCAGTTTTCATCTCACCCAGAGGCAGGTCTTTTGTAAAACTAGTAATAGTTGATTGCCTATTCAAGATGTCACATGAGAATAGGGATAAGCTGGTATCAGGAATTTTGGGTAGCCACCATAGTCTCCTGAAGAAAAAGCAAAATGAATAATTTTATAGCATATTAAAGATTAAAGAATTTTATTTGGGATCAGCTTTTCTGTATTGCAGGTATCTGAGGAAATCCACAAAACTGCAGCCCACTTATGTGAAACAAAGCTTATGTGAAATAAAACATGTTTGGTTTTTAAGGCATTCTTTGTTGTTTAAATTCACAACAATCTTGAGAATATCCATACCACCAACCAACAGAGCTGTTGTTGCAGTAAAGCTCAAGAAAGAACAGAGAGGTCTTCAGAGGGCTTGGCAAAAGACCAAACAGCCCATGCTCATAAAAAATGTGTTAGTGCCA